GGAGGAGGGTAATAAGGTGCCAGGAGGTGGAGGACAGGAAGGCAGTGACGGAAGAAGCCGAAGACGTGAGGAAGTGTAGGCAGCTTAATTTATATTTGTTGTGTGGATAAAGAGCAGGGTAAAGAGAGCAGAGAAGCATTGTTACTAAAAAGAGAACCCTTTCTATTCACACCATGTTTGTTCATGCTTAAAATCTTAAATCTTAGTCTTCCTGATGATTTTGGTAAAGAGCAGCTCCATTTAATTAACTTTTAACAGCAGCTTCATCAGCAAGGTGGAGTTTTCCTCAGAGGATCAATGTAACTCCAGCTTGTTAGACTCCACTCTCATCAGCTACCACACTACACTACATGGCTCCTGTCTTTTTATTCAGTGTGGAAGCTGCTTTCAGCTTCTCATTTATTCACAAAGGGTTACCACAGCAGGAAGCTCCACATGTTTAATTTGGTCGTGTTTTTAAGATCGATACTCTTCTTGATGAAACTGCAGAGGGATTTGTGTCTCCTTCCCCAACTATGAGATATGACTAAAAGACCTGGAAAGGCAAGACACGATGCACGCATGCATCACGCATACATGATGCTCATTTATTAGTGGTGAATGCTCTAGACAGTTAGCTACAGTATTTGAACAGTGGGACCATCTGACACAAAATTTACCAGCATGGAAAGTGACTTTTCCTGTAGAAGAGTTACTAACATGTATGAATACCTATTACTCCAGAGGATTGTAGTTTCATTCCTGTTGGGATCAACCAGCAACCCTAATGTGAGGCAACTGTACATAGAGGACAAATGTCATAAAGGACAAAAGAAGAAACTGGGGGAAAGGGGGAGTAGGAAGTGGAGCCTGCTAGGGCTAATTAGATTGATAATAGTGGGCCTGAGCATGTAGAGGCAACTGTAAGGGGTCAACGTGACAAGAAGAGAGGTAAATGGAGAAGAAGGAGGGGCTGAGGAAGAAGCAAGTGGTGGGAACATGACCAGGGCCTTGCCCACACTAAAGGCATGACAGGCGATGGAAGGTGGCTCTTGTTGCAGACATAAAATCACTAGAGTGGACCAGCACAACATCAAATAGACTTGAAATCAGCTTCTGGATGAATAGTTTCCTTTTTTCCACTGAAAACAGACAGACATTTGTGTTTGTGTACATGGCTACTCATGCACGCCACACAGGAATAGTGTAAAATCAGTGCAGGTCCCTCTACTTTGATTCTACTTACAGTAGGTCTATGTCATTGGAAACCCCTGGGAGGTCCTGTGTCGTTGGGAACTCTCGCCTCTTGTTAGCCACTACATGGCTACAGTCTTTGATCAGCTCAGCTGACTCTTAAGCTCAGCTTAGAGCTGTAGAAGTTTGTGGAGAGGGAGAGAGGTGGCGAGGACAGAGAGACTGATGGCACCCACTGAACCATGTATCCTCTGTTGAGGATGGAGGCAGGAAGGAGAGGGTACAGATGGAGAGACATTAAGGTGATGTGGGATAAGCAGAATGGAAGGTAAATGGAAGAAGAGCATGGCCAAATGAAGAGTGTCTTCCATTCCTCCCAATCCAGTCAGTCAGTGAGACGAGGGTTAACCACAGTGAGTTTAAGAAACAGCAGCACGAAAAGAATTCAATGTTTAAGACTGTGGAACATTCATTCAAAATGCTCCCATAAACCTCTCACAGGGTGTAAAGGGGGTGTCTTTTTAGGGTGTAGACACCCAAAATGACATAATCAGTGTAATTAGGCCATCAGTCAACAGGCCTGTCTCTACTGCATTGTCACTGTTGATTCTTTGTGTATCACAGCACTTGAAACTGCTGTCTGCTTTGTGGAGAAGACGGCCTGTTCAACTCCTAATGAGGAGAGCCAACAGTCTCTTCAGGGATACTTGAGTTTGCCCAGAGGAGCTCTCCTTGGGGCATAAGCATACATTATTCATTTGTGTGCTTAGTTAGCATTCATTCAGGCACCACCCTCTCATGTGGGCTCTGAGTAAAAACCATTAACAGGAAAGGTTTGACATTCTGTAATTACAGAGTACTGGAGAGGACTACAGGCTCTCTGGGAATACTTCTAATTCATGCACAAGCTCGCTTCCCAAGTATTCCCAGTTTTGTATTATTTTCTTGACATGTAACTTTCCTTTATGTGACATCAAAGAGAGTCTGCTTCACTGAACAATGACTTTTCTCAAATACAGTAATCCATGACCTGCCCGTTGATTTGCCTAATTCTCCTCCAATACTGTTTACATGTCCACATGTGCTTCACACAGCAATGGTAACACTGGCTAATCTGATTGGCCCCTGATGTTTTAATTGTGTGTGCGTGGGTTGTTAACCACGTTTGGTGGTTTCGTGTTTAGGGAGAGTCGCATCAAAGAGGTAAGAGCAGAGAGCAGTGAAGGGGTCTGTCCACAGTGATGAGGGCTAGAGGTCATACTGATGGTACAGGGATCCTGAGGTGAAATAAGACTGGGTAATGGACTTTGTTTGTTTCGCAACACATTCACTAATATCAGCATAATCTCATGTTTTAATAATTTATTTCTTAGAGCAGCTCACGAGTGTTTCAACCTGCAGTGAAAGGACATGACTGATGCAGAAAAATCAACTACCAGTGGTCTTTGTTCCATCTAGTTCTTCGGCTACACTCGTGCATCATTACATGAAATAGCACTGATATCTTAAAAACACAAAATAACTCAATTAAGCTAAAAAACTGTATAGCCTTAAGAAAGTCAACAGTGACAGTAACAGTTGCACAAAAAGCTTTAATTTTCTTGGAAGTATTGAACTCTAAAGTAAAAGGTCATGTGGTCAGAGTCTAGATTTACCGTGCTGCAGAATGATCAGTGCATTGCGGTAAGGTAAGAAAGGTTGTAATGCACCCATCATGCCTTCACATTTACGGTACAAAGGCAGTATTATGGTCTGGGGTATTTTTTCAAAAAATGAGGTCAGGTGACTACTTGAATATACTGAATTACTAGGTTTTTTTTCATTAATGGTATATATATATAAAAGCTGATAAAAGCTAATGGCAGCCGATACCAGGACATTATGCACAAGAACAGTGAGCTCAGGGACACCAGGCTCAGTCCACTCCTGTGCATCCTCCTCACCTACAACTGCATCCACTTCCAGAGCAATGCCTCTATCATCAAGTTCACTGTTGCTATGCTTATTATTCTTTACTTTTAGTTTATCTAAACTAGTTAGTTTATTTTAGTTTAGCAGTTTATAAGACAATAAACTTCTTGATTGATTTGTTGGTCAATATTCCAGAATGACACTGCCATGAGTAGTTCAGGGACCATGGGACATAACGGCTCCAGACTCATTCAGCATCTTTGGGATGTGCTAGAGAAGAATTAATGCAGACATGTGACTTTCGCATCATCACTACAAGCTCGTGACAAAATACATGGACAGAAATACATGTTGTGAACTAATGGACACAATGTCATGGTAAATGCGTGCGGTAATAAAAGCTAAAGACAGTCCACATATATTTGAGTCCGTGACATTTTTTTCATTTGTTTTGACTGTGTAGTGAATATGCTGGTGTATTATCCTCTGCTTAAACATGTACTTGGCACACTGTTGTGAATTCTCAAAGCAATATGTTTCAAATTCAAACAATGCTCAGCCGACTTTCAGTTTTATTTGTACTTCTGTAACCTCATCAGCAACAGTCTTTTGTTATGACTCAAAATCAGAAGGGTCTTCAAAGCCTCACTAAAGCCCCCTCTTTACCACCCCACTACACATGACCCTGAGCACTTGTTTTGCCTCTCTTTCATCTCTTCTTGCCTCTCGACCTCTGGGTCACCTCTGTGCTCGAACCAGAACTCGCCCTCATATGTGAAACCTCTCATTAAAACACACAACAGTCACAGTCATGTACGCACAGCCAGATCTACACAAACAGCGATGATAAGAAGTGGGGAAGGTTGTAGCTCTCCATGTAAGGGTCTGTGCAGGTGTTCAGAAAAGGTCAGTGGTTTTAGTTAGGTCACATGCATGTTCACATGTTTTTGATGTTGTTGTTGCTCAAGTTCAAGTCTGACTTGGTAGGAGAGGTAGACGTGACAGACAAAAAGACAAGCTGGAGAGCATGTGAAGAAAAGGCAATTTTCATTAAACTACTCTTTGTTCTTTGGTGTCCACCCCAAAACAACTTTGAGGATACTGACCAGAACATGTTTACTATGTAGACAGTGCATGTGTGTGTGTGTGTGTGTGAGTGTGAGAGCAGGGTGGGGGTGAGACATGTCTCTTATAGATGTGAGAAACTGGCCGTGTCTCTCAGTGTGTCGACACTCTAATTGGCAGAATAGAATTATTGAGTGAACTGAAGCTAATTTGATGAGGCGAGTTGAAGGACAGCTGATAGGGCATGCAGCTATGGGAAAAACGGGTTCCTGCACTCTCCACACACACACACAAAGGGCCGGAGTGTGTCTTCCATTTACAGCTGGTAAGGATGTACAGTTGGCTGAACTCTCTCGCGCTCTCTTTCTCTCTCTTCATTTGTTGGGGTTGCCATGGTGATAAGGGGAGGCTTGCCTTGGCGGCCCATAATTTGCAGAGAGCCTGTCTGGATGTGACATGCTCTTTACAGGCTCGGCATTGTTTGGAGCTGATTTATGTACATTTGTTGCGCTTCATCACAACCTTCCCCACACCTCCAACGGAGGGGGTAGACTTTGAAAGAATCAGCACATGTACCATGCGCTGATTCTTTGGAATTCCCCGGTTGGATTAGCACAGTCTTATAAGAATTGCCTAATTCTGTCTCCACCTATGGTGCTTTCCCTCCAAAGCCAGATCTTTTTGCTTTTCCTTTCCCTCTCTGTTTGAAATGGCTCTTACTCTCCTCTATCAACCCTTTCCTCCTCCCTCCCAGTAGGCGTTGCTACAACACAGTCCAATCAGAAACCAACCCATTTATTCATCCCTCCATGGTCAGCTTGTTGTGTCCACATGTTTCTTTTTTCTTTTTTCCCATTTTTTCCTTCTACCCCTCATTGTGCCACATGAGCCTGGAGTAGATAGAAAGACTGTAGTGGAGCGAAAGTTAGCAAGCAACCGAGAGAAAGACAGAGAGAGAGAGACTGGAGGAAGTCATGCAGAGTGTGAGGCAGCCCAGCGGCAATGCTTGATGAACTGAACTGCTGACCAGTTCTTTCTTCACTTTGACTGAACCTCACAGGGATCAAGAAATCAGACGAGAGATTCCTGATCTGAAGAGATCAGCTCGTTGTCTTCACTGAGGGGCAGAAAAACCAGGCAAGGACGTGGAGAGGAAAAAGAGAGCATTAGAGACAAGGAGACAGAAGAGAGTTCTACAAATGCGAATTGGAGCAGAGGAGCACAAGGAGATGCTCAGAGGGACCAGATAGTGGCAAGAAAAGCAAGACAAGTAGCAAGTGTGCCCACAGAGACCGCTCAAAGAAAGGGCGACGCATTAGGAGGAGTTAGAAGCTGTTGCGAGTCAAGCAGGGAGAGAAAGAACAAGACAAGACAGAAAACAGAGAGACAGTGTTAGAGAAGAATGGCTAACTCAGGTCTACAGTTGTTGGGTTACTTTCTGGCGTTGGGTGGCTGGATTGGCATCATCTCCACAACTGCCTTGCCCCAGTGGAAGCAGTCATCGTACGCCGGCGATGCCATCATCACGGCTGTGGGTCTGTACGAGGGGCTGTGGATGAGCTGTGCCTCACAGAGTACGGGACAGGTGCAGTGCAAGATCTTTGACTCCATGCTCTCGCTGGACAGTGAGTACCACATTTGAATTTGCTCCTAAAACCCAAGGATCTCTAACTTGTAGCAGTGCCCTTTTCCTACTCACGGTGATGTCCTTGTCTTTAAAGAAATCCATGTTAGGTATCACTTCTGTTTGGAGTGCAGGTTCATTGTAAAGGATTTTCAGGTTTGATTCTGTTGGATGTGAAGTTACTGTGAAGTTATATTCAATGTACAATTACTCAGATGACGAAGAGTAAAATTCAATTAAACTGCTAATGTGCTGATAAACTTTTTTCACTTTTCAATCACACTCCTTCCTTTCTTTCAAACTACTTTCCTTCTTTTATTTTATATTTTTAATTACCGTAACATTTGTCAACCTTTTGTTCTGCTTTGTTATACAAAATTTTCCCAAGAAACATCTTTTGTGGTACACTACACATGTATTATAGTTATTATATACTACGGTACACAGTTATTATAGTATGGCCCATTCATGTGTGCCGACTCTTGCCATTAATCAGCAGCAAAAACAGAAGAAAAACAACTCCCTGAGTGCTAAATGCTAACTGGGATGCAATAAACATGCAAGCTATAAATCTTACTTCAAATGCTGCTGTTCACATCTTTATTACAGCTTAGTTTCTTTATTAGAACTCCAAAACACCATGCGTAGAGTGTGATGAGTAGGAGGGGGTTCGGAATGTGGGGTTCGGACGTAAATTAGCTCAGAATACGAGTCTCCTGTCATCTCCAATCTGTGAGCTGGACCTAGTGAGTCATAATTAAAGGCACACAGATTATATGAATCCATCCATCTACTGTCTGCTTAAATTATCCTATTAGAGATTCTAATGAAAGACTAGCGGGTGTTAAGGGGGGGAGGCTTGGTCAGAAGGCACTTTCACAATACAATTCATTTGTTTTTCTCTGTGGTTACTGCTGTGGCACGCTTTCCTTGGAACAACAAATGAGGCACTTTGCAAACATTTTGGCGGTTCTGTGAGTCCTCCTATCAACACACTTTCTGATGGCGATCGTTGTGATGGGGCGTCCGAGCTGATCTCCCATCTCCTTTGGTTCCTTGCAGCAATAAGAACAGTGTATTGTCTTTGGGTATGAATAGAGGCTGTTAGAAGAAGAAAAGGGTAGTTGTTGAGCTAAAGTCCAGAGATATTCCCAGAATGTGCTCTATCGTCCCCACACGAGCACATTGTTCCACTTGTCCGTTAACCTCTTAACATCCATCAAGTCTCCTTGAGTTATTGTTGGATTTTGCTAGATGGACAATTATTCCGAAACTAGAAGATGTTACCTTTCAAATAAAGACTACACAGTCATTTGGCATGACAGATTTTATGTTCCAAGCTTTTCCATTTAAATCATATAAACAGGTGATACATTTATAAAACTCTATAGATGTTAACAAATTACCAGAAATTCATCTAGAAAACAGGGGGCAGGGTTAGGACTAGGATAACATACCCAATTGTTACAGAATAAAACATTCTTGAACAATCTCTGCTTTGTTTAGATTTTCCCCCAGACACATTACGAAACAGAACTGATTTAATCACATGTCCCGGATCAGGTCGGAATCTCGGGTATTGGTTTGATCAGGCACAAATAGGTCTGAAGGAGCTCCTCTCGCCTGGGTATGTTCGCAGCAGGAGCAGCATGTGACGGCGGGTATAATTGTTCACTAGACTGTGCTAATGTGGCCAAGCAAATGTGGTGGAAAGTGCTGCAGGTTTACTGAGCATTTTGCTCAAGAAGAAGACAGTGGTCAAAATAACAGATGGCTGTTATTTGCCAGATGAGGTGAAGGAGGATGGTGGTGCTGAAAGGACAGCTCTTTGCATCCAGTAAAATCTGAGCGTGACATTGACCTGCCTCTGCCAATCTGTGTGTCGCACTAAATAGCAACCTCTTGCACATTTGACATAAAAGGCATAGATGTTTCCTGTGGATGCCAGACATTCATGTAAAAGGTTAAGTCTGCTTTATAAATTGAACTTGACAATGAGTTTCTGAAGACACTATTCATAGTAAAATAGTTTCTATTATACAATACATCTTGAAATGTATGCACATTTGGTCAGTCAAACCTACTTTATCTATGGCCAGTTAGGTAGAAATGTTCTTGTATTAGATTCTTGTATTTCTTTTAAGATCAAAGCCAACAACGTGTCCCTCCAAACTATTTGACATTTATACCCATCTGTCAGTCTTTGTCCCCATGCTTTGCCTACTCCACGATTCTTGACCTATGTCTTTAAAAACACAAATACATGTGTTGTAAAAAGGCTAAAATGTCCATAATAAAACTGTCAGTCAGGACACTAGTTTGACATCCAGGTGGGAGCTACTTTCCTTTTCACTTTCTGTTTGTGTAAGTTCTGGTAAGCCACAAAGTCAGCTCAGCTCGGTAGCGATTCTGGCAAATCAGCTGATTACTACATCAGCCCACATCAGCTGATGGCTCAGCTGATACCATTCTACACATCCATTTGGAAAATCCTATGAGAGCTGCTTCAACCTAACACACCCCCAACTGGTCGTGGCAGATGGCCCCGCACGTCCCTGAGCCTGGTTCTGCCGGAGGTTTCCTCCTTTTAAACTGTTTTTCCTTCCCACTGTCATCAAAGTGATTGCTCATAGGTGGCTGTCTGATAGTTGGGGTTTCTCTGTATTATTGTAGGGTATTTACCTTACAATAATAAGCAACTTAAGACATCTGTTATTGGGATCTGGTGCTATATAAATACAATTGAATGGAACGGAATTAAAATTCTGCAAAGCAAGCTACTTTGCAACCCACCTCCATGCTAGCTCTTCTTTTGATACTTTATCTGACTTACTCACAAGGGTTGTCATTGATGCCTCCTCTGATCTGAGCTGGGGTCTTGCTTCTGCCCTTCACACCTTATGCTTAACTTGTATGCACATTTAAGGGTGGTATCAGATAAGTCATGCAGATGTAATTAGCAGTTGTCTTAAGCTACAGTAATCTATACTGAGTAAAAAATATCATGGTTTACACAGGTTCACACTGTTTAGAATAAAAAACAAGCTGAGAGTCAGACATGGTAAAAATGGTTTTATAGGACAAATATTTCAAATATTTAGTATGCATCCAAAACAGCCAATGAGGGTTTGCAGTGTGTGTGGACTCACACAGACACTAATATTGATATTTACCTACAACAAATGCTTCAAATGCTGTGTGAATTGCACAGCATTCACACAGCATTGTGTGAATGCTGTAGGCATTCACACTATTGAGTTGGCTTTGACAAGTTAATATGGGTCCTTTAACTGGTATACACTGAAAAGAAATGACTAAAGGGTCAAGAGAAACAGAAGTTTATTCTTTGAGTTGAAATTGCATTGGAGGACTAAACTGTAAGTGTAAGGCACCGAGCAGGCAGAGAGCCAGTCTGTACAAAATAGACTCAAGTGACCTCACAATGGGACCTTACAGAGCCTACACACACACACACACACACACACACACACACACACACACACACACACACACACACACACACACACACACACACACACACTGAAAGGTTGTGGCTGGTACTGCCAATCTTAGCAGTGGAAAAAGAGAACCTAGTGGGTGGGTGAGCCAGCCTTCAACCAACTCTCTTTCTCACTTTCAATCCCTTCTTCTAGTCTCACCAAGGAAAACCGGTCAGTGGAGTCATTAGCCTAAACCCCCACACACCAGGAATGTCTACAGTGAATGAAAAACAACAGCAAAAAATTTCCAAATCCCTCTCTCTGGAAGACCATTCAGATACTCCATCAAAAGGAGCAATGGAGCCATAAATCAGACTTCAAAGATTGTTCCCCCTTCAAGTCCCTTCAGATCAGCTTTTGAAATGCTGCTTCACTGCCGCACCATGAATGATGGTGTGTGTATTTCTGTCACAATGACAAACGGTGACTTTAGCTTTCATCTCAGGCTGATACTCGACTGCTCTTTTTGAACTTACAGTTCATTCAGCGAATGGGGTACAGAACTCAGAGAATCGGATATTGGTAAAAATCATAGAAGCACTGCAGCAAAGAAAAAAATTAATACCTTGTTTTGGGAAAAGACATTTATTTAATCAGATCTGACTGGCAATTTTAAACATGCACTTTTTTTAGTCCCAAAGATCAATGCCCTGAAAGACAGTGTTGGCTGCTCAGTGGCAAAAGTTGCTCGTAGGAGGAATTAGTTTTTTGCTACTTGAGTCACAGAGCAAGGAACATCTCTACTTGAGCATTTGTTAACAGTAGAACAAGTCAACAAACACTTTTTCTGACACAGTTCTTGAAATCCTTACTACACACCAAACTATTCAGTAAGAACTTACAATGTTAACCACAGTGTAATAAGGGCACATTTAAAATGTCAATGTTAATGTTACTGTTAAGAAATACTGAAATGATAACTGATAATATTTACAAGTCATTATTAAAGTTCTACATTATGTTTATCTATAACATTATAGTTTGTATAATAAAAAAATGGAATTAATTTTAACATGTGGTATATTGTATTGTATTGTGTATCGTACTGCAGCTGATTCACTTCAGTTTTATTTATAGAGCGACAAATCACAGCAACAGTTGCCTTAATGTGCTAGAGATTATGACAATTATATAACAATTAAATCCTTGCATTTACATTTTTTTATGCTATACCATAATCAACAATTTTATGATAAAGGTTTAATTTCTGACCTGTTCTCATTCCTGGGGGATCAAATATTGATGCTTTAGGCACGTGCGCTTTGAAGATTCAGTGTCAGTGCTGTGGGAATAGTGAGACCAACACCCCTGACTTTGGCCGTATGGTGAACCAAAGCAAGTCAAGACTGTCTAAGAATAAAAGGAAACTAAATACTTAGTAAACATTTACAAACCAATATCGTCAGCAGACACTTTACAGCTACCACCAGACAATGTCCTCACATGTACCACTGACCTACTATTATAAATTACCATTATATTGTTGGTGCACAATAAAAAAAACTACCAAGTTATTATTTAGTAATAACCAACAGTGCTCCTTCTTCTTCTTCTTCTTCTTCTTCTTCTTCTTCTTCTTACCTAGTAACATCCACAATGTTTTCAGGAGATAAATAAAATGATATATTTCAAAGGTCCTGGAATATAATGAGTGCATAATGGGATTTTTTTTAATGTGTCCTGGAGCTGTAAAAGCTAACAAAGGGGCAACACTAAAAAAATGAGTTTGCTGACTCTATTGAATTGTTTTCTGTTCAGCGTGTTTCCTGGGACATGCAAACACAACACCGGCTGCCGTTTTTTGAAAGTGATGCCTGTGATCTTGGCTGTGAAACCTCTATGAGAAATCCCCCTGTTTACTTTAATTACCATATTTGTCAGCTTTGTCAGATATCACAATCGAGATGCTGGAATTTCCATGTTTTCTACCGCTGCTGGGATTTCAACAATCCCCTCGCTTGCTGTAAATAAGGCACGCTCCATCAGTATTTTGACGGTATTATTAGGCGCTCAGCATTGCTTTGCCTTTAACGTGTCTTTGAGTGGCTGTTGTTGAGGCAGTACACTCACATCGCTGTGGTGACGGCCCCGCGAAAACAATCTTTCTTTGTGACAAAGCCACACTAATCCCACTGTTTGAAACATGTAAAGTGGGGCCTCCTACAGTCAGTGTGAGCCAGAGAGAGACTTTCATCTCAGTCTGTTCCACCTACAGTCAATGTGTCTGTGCTCATATTGTGCTCTTACACATATGTGAGTAAATATGTGTAAATATGTTCCTCCCACTAAGTTATGTGTGTGCTGAGGCCTGTGTGGGTAGAGGATTCGATTTTAGAGACGGCAAAACCACAGTGGAACGATGTGGAGAAGATTTGAAGGATCATTTACGGTTCCAGAGTTTGGCCAGTAAAGTCACCTCTGGAACTACCCTGCTTGGAAAAGTAGGACAGTGGTGGACTCTCCCTAATGATCTGTCTGTCACAAATGCATGTGGTCTCCCATCAACCCTGCATGGCATGTATAGCTTCATTCCCCTCAGTTTTCGCTTTCATGTTTAGAAATATTTGTGTCTTTCCAAATGATGGGCTGAAAGACTCTTTTCTTTTCTGTTTTCTCATCTCCTCACCACTTCTACATCCTCTACTTCATGTTTTATCTCTTTCCTCCCCTCTTTTTTCTCTAGTCCACATCCAGACATGCCGGGCCCTTATGGTGGTGTCAGTACTGCTGGGCTTTATTGGGATCATTGTCAGCGTGGTGGGCATGAAGTGTACCAAGGTGGGAGATAACAACCCAGCCACCAAGTCCCGCATCGCTATGACTGGAGGAGCACTCTTTCTGCTTGCAGGTGCAACTGTTGTTTTGCTTCATTTACCAGCATAAAAAGACGCTGTATTTCTGGCATTCAATGCATTTAGCAAGAGTGGTCTGGCATTTTTCTTGCAGTAGGGGTCTTCTGGGTAATTAGAGTCCCTGCTGTAAACAGGAAGTGGTCATTTTCGAGGCATTAGCTCTTGACCTCAGACCACAATCCCAAGGAAAGAAATTAAACTAAACAAGTATTTACTAAGCCAAGCCATTGGTGTTGTTGTAGCAACAGAATTAATTAGTGTAGTAAACTGACAGATAAGATAAAATAAAACGTTAGGAAAAAAATGACAGAAATTTCTGTGTATGTAAGCTGTGTATGTGCATCTCTCTCCACACACACACACCTTCATTCCAGTCTTTCCTTCAGGTGAACACCTAAGAACCTGTAGCTATCCGTTGTTTCAACCTCCTCACCCATGAGACATTTCCTGGGCTTAGTTGTATTTTTTTCCCCTAGAAGAAAAAAATTCCTTTGTCTCACTGACATTCAGAAAGAGGTGATTTCTGCCAGACCACTCTGCAAAGCACCTTGCCCGCTCCCTCTACTCCAGTTCCTGTAGTGTCATCAGAAAAGTTCTGCAGGTAGCATGGTCCTCACCTGTTTCTCCCTCCACAGGTTTATGCACACTGGTTTCTGTGTCCTGGTATGCCACTCAGGTGTCCTATCAGTTCTTTAACCCAAACACACCACCCAATGCCAGGTATGTGAATCATATTGTGATACACTCCTTTCTGTTTGAGCTGAGGGTTTAATCTCTTCATTAAAGAGCAAAAAACACCATAATCAAGTTGCGACTGCTACAATACTGTCAGTGTATTCAAAACCTGGAAGTATCAGATCTCGAATAAATATCACAATATCATATAATGAGATTGCAATGTTTGCAATAGTTTAATATTTCTTTAAAATGTTGTTGAAAAGAAAAAATGCAGAGGTGGGAAACACTAAATAGCCTGAATAAAAGATACCTGACAGTGATACTGTTTTCATTGGTCTAACACTGTTTTCAGTTATCACGCTGTTGTATTTGTGCTCAGTCTTCTTATTTTTTTGTTTGTTTGTATATTTGAAAATGTCATATTTTAGACTAGTCAAGAGGTTTTGTTGTACATAGAAGAAACAGGCATAAGTAAGCAGACTTCATCTCAAAGGTTTGAGGGACAATTAACATGATGTGATAAACTGGAACTACAGCCAGTGACAAAGATTCTGCAGTCAAATTACTGTTAAACTTAACGTGTTCTGTTTACAAAAACCACCTAGATGTGGCAAATAAAAATAATTAGGACTAGTTGCAGACACAACTGTTTTCAGCTGCTAATATCTGTATAACATATACGTCTAAAACAGCTAATGTTACTGGTTGCTGTTAAAAAGATGAGTTTAGCTGTAAACTGTAGTTATTACTAAAATAGTCAACATCTGTCGCCAATAGTTGCTAATAATGGCTGAAAAATATGACCAGTTGGTGATACAAATCACAAATAAACAATAATAGCTAGTTAGCTGCAAACATTTGGTTGGTAAGGAAAAACCATTGATTAATTTAGCAACATCATTTCCAAATATTTGATAATTTTGGCTTAGAAATATGATCAATGTACGATGCTAATAGTTTCCAGTTATGAAAAAAAAGGAAAAACAAATCATTTAATACTAGTAGTTGTTACTTTTATCAAGTATTACAGCTGTAAAGCTCCTCTTATGACTAATGTGTATGCTAATGGTTAGTCTTCAATATCTAATAATTAAAATAATAAATTTTTTATCCATTTTTTATCGCCCACGCTTCAATATCCATTTATCCTTTATTTTGTGTATGTCTTTTTATGTCAGCATTTACACCTTATGCCTTGTTTATGCCTTGTTTCCTGTGCAGGTATGAGTTTGGCTCAGCCTTGTTTGTCGGATGGGCAGCAGCCAGTCTGACTGTTCTGGGTGGCTCTTTGCTGTGCTGCTCCTGCTCCAAAGAAGATATGCGAGGACAGCAATATTACCGCCAATCACAGCCTTCCACAGCAAGGGAGTACGTGTAAACCCCAACCCCTTCCAGCAGTCACCCAAACAGAGAGCAGAGGACACGCTTGGCACCACCCTCTTTTTTCCCCTTGTAAATCTAACAAAAAGACTATCATGCATACACACATGCAATCATTTAGCTCAAAGACACTTCTTATCTTACACAGCAATACACGACATATGAAGTTGTACATATATGAGCATATTATCTACCAGTAGGATGTATGTGGCTATGAACCTAAAGAAGTACAAACTTATACGTAGAAAGTGTTAAGCTTGTATTGTGAGTTGACATCTCCTGCTTGTCATGATTTAATGTACTTTAAGAGGTAAGTACAGCGATACGATGAACACAAATTTAAGCACGGTACAGAAAAACATCGTTTGGAGCAAATTACACTGCAAATTAAAGGGCATTTCTTATCTGAGGAAGTACTGCAAAACTTGCTGAACTTTTACTAGCATGTCCTGTGCTTCCTGGTTGGAGCTGCATTGGTGTTTTACCTCCAAATTGCCACGTATGTTCACAGTCTACTGTTGCAGTTACGTGTGTAAGGGGACAAGGCCTGACCCTGTGTGCAAATGAGAAAAAAAGGATTTAATTTTGTAACTCACAGTTTAGAGCTCTAAACCACCAAACCTTTTCTATCTTTATATAGAATTCAAAACAAAACAAAGAATTTCTATGTTCTTAATTTATTTATTTAAGCTGTCGAGTGTTATTCAAACAAACATAATGAATGACAGTAAAGAAGCAGGCGTGTCTGGTGTCCTCCTAAGTGAGGAAGCCCCTGGACAACCATCTTATTAACAGCTGAGAAAATTTCTCACATATGGTAAAACTACACAGTCCTTTTTTACACCACAAGGACTTGATGAAGATCGCACATGCAGACACAATCTGAACTGCAGCAGTGGAGGGTGAATTGTTAGTTAAAGGTGTCTGTTTAGATGTGTAATGAGTATGACTGCTGCTGATTATCGCTCTTCCATTATACTTAACACGAGGAGAAAGAGGAGACTGTCATCGACACATATCATCACGCTCCATTTACTAACACCATCGTTCCAGATTCATACACTCCCTCATCTCATAAGCTGTTGTATAACTAAACCAGTGCCTAAGATCTAAGCTATTCACACACATGAATAATCTTACTGAGAAGCTAAAAGATGTCAGCATACTATTATCTTTATATAATTTAGCATGATGAAGTGTTATATTTAACTCCACTGTTTGGTTGATTGCATATAGAAAAAACAGGTGGTCTTCAACCCACCGACTACTCATTGAAGGTGAGGCACAATAGATACTTGCAACTATTGCCACATTAGACCCTTTAAAACTCAGCTGCTGCTAAATTGGCTCTTGAGTTCTCCCTTCATGCTCCCACATCACTTTGCCCCCATTTATGTTTCTAAAAGAGTTGGTCCATCACTGTTCCACATAAAAAAGCCATTAACTTTTCTTAGAATAGGTCCCAGTTGCCCCATTTCCCAGTTACATGGCTTCTCTTCTTAGAAGAGACTTATTTGTGGAGAGCTCTATTATTCTCAAACTTGGCAGGTGGACGGTGAAGGTCTATAGGAAATTCTTTGTACTTGTACTAAATAAAATGAGATGTCAATGGGATGTCAAGCATCTCTGCTCTGCTGTCATAGCGACTGTGACATCTCCCCATTTCTATATGACTGGAAATGAGCAACTAGGCCTATAAAGCCAACAGACAAGTGTTTACAGAGGTCAAGTCTGAAAGCCCTTTTCCCAGACACCTCTATGGAGGGAAGACTTTTATTTTTTTGCAGCTTCGAGTATGTCTCTTGTGGCAGAGAATGCAGGATTAAGGCAGTTCCACATCACCCCAGACAACAGTATAGCTGTTCATTGACTCTATATGTTTCTGCCCACCTTTATTAGTCATTCTGTAGGGTAAATGTTCTATTTTAACCCGAACAGTGCTAGCCAGCTTCCATGTAACACTGATTCTGAAACCTGTCGGCTAACATCTCAGTCATCCCTCTGGCTCTCTAACATGGTGGGAATCTGAGAGTTCTTGATGTGTCTTATCCTGACTGTCTTCTTCTCTCCTCTAATTCAGGGCAGAGTTGTTGAGTGAAACTAGTTTCCCTGACTGATCAGCCCCCGCCTTTTTATCGAGGACTTTCCGACTCTCCCACCACTGTCTCCCCATCCCCCCTTCATTTCCTGTTACCTCTTTACCTTCCAATTTGGACCTCTTGTAGATGATTTCCTTTTTCTCAATAATACATCTGCACCTTATCACTTTTAATGGGAACCAAGGTGTACTGTCTTCTTCCGACCCCCTCTCCGTCTCTGAGCCGTCTCTGTAAATATGGACTCATGTGGTCAGACGTTTTCTTTAAGAAATAAGATATCAACCCTCTGCTACACCTCCTGTTCCCCCTTCTGTCCAAATATTGGTGCAAAGTTAACAATAAACTGAAACATACTGTTGTGCTGATTCGTAGTTTCACTTACAGCCTATGACCTCTGGGTGTTTTTGTAAATGTGAGGTTTTTTTCTTGTCGCTGTGACTGAAACGTGTCTTTTTTCCCTTTTGAATTGCAGACCAAATGTTAAAAGTACCCCACCAGAGAAAAGGGAGCAGTACTTGTAGTTTGGGAGAGTCTTCTGGCCCTACCATGGTTTAAATTCTGTCAACAGACAAAACCCTTTCACTGAGAAATTCAAAACAGACAAGAATGAATTTATGAACAGCAAACACTCAAGCATATTGCAACAACATATATTAATCTTTGTTGAGATTAATGAAATTGTTTGGGGAAATGTTTTATGAATTAGATGTACTTAGGGGGTTTGACATCCTCATCTGTGTTGTTGACTTTGGGAGAGACAGTCATTCAGGGTATGTTTTCTATAACATGTTAAAAAACCCAGGTGTATATACCACCAACTTTACTCCTTTTTTTTTACTACATATAATGTTTTACTACAGTGCCTTATAACACATGTTTGCACACATGTATGTGAATTCTCTGTTTTCCATCCCATCTGAGGGATGTGTGTCCACAGCTACTCTGCTAGGACTTGTGTTTCCCTTTGTTTCTATTGTTGGAGTTCCAAAAACGAATGTGAAGCTACTCTACAGTACCACTTATGAACAAAAAGGACAAATACATGATAGATCTGCCACGTGTTGCCTTATGCCACTGTAAACTCTGTGCCTGTTTCCAAGTAGTCTGGGCTGAGGATATACCAAGTGCATCCATTGTGTATCGTCAGGTGCCAATATGATTTTGTGTGAATGGAAGAGTCGTCGTATTATTGACTCTTAAGGACGTACTGTATTGTGTGCTGTCTCCTGTACTAAGGAATGCCAGTTTGCTGAGAGTTAAAATGCCTGCATTTATTTACCATGCCTTTCTTTTTCTCTAATATTTACCTCCTTCATGTCGTGTATCATCTCATTTACCTGTATACCCGTCTGTTTCCTTTAGAATGAAGTAAACAGAGATGGAAAAATGGATTTGGCTATGACTCAGTACTTTATCAGTTTTTTCCCTACTTTTCACCCTTGCCTGACTTTTTGCCCACTCCCCCCACTCATTCCTCCATTCCAGCTCAAATCCTTCTTTTGCACCCTGTTGTTCAATAATTGCAGATGTGGAATTCCACTTCTGCTCCACTGGACTGAAGCCTTGTTGGCGCTGTGCTGAGCAAGTTAACCTTGCGAGTCCACCTTTGAGAATGTCTGGTGTTGTAGAGTTTGAGCTAGAAAACATTTTAAATTGTGATCTTGGCTAGAATTACTCATTTTTAACTGACTTAAACAGGATAAGAGCGAGGGTCGTGCTTTTTCAAGTACTATTTTAATACGATATGCACATGTCTGTAAACATTACTAATTGTTCTGTTTTTTGTTATTGCTTACTTTGCTTTTGCTTTCTATGAAGATTAAGTGTTTTCGTAAACAGAAGATACAAACTTCACAGTTATGATTTTGGAGAAATAGACCCGGTGAAGTTTAGCCAAAGCTCACGCAAGATTTTGAGTCTCTGCGCTAGAATATCCAAATGGCAGCCTTCCAAAGTGTGTCTCTTTCAACCAAATCACCAAAAAGGAACGCTAACAATTCAATTCAATTCAATTCAATGTCATTTATACAGCGCCAAACACCAACAACAGTCCCCTCAAGGCTCAATAATACATACAGAGAAAAACCCAACAATTATATGACCCCCTATGAGCAGCACTTTGGCGACATTGGGAAGGAAAAACACCCTTTTAACAGGAAGAAACCTCCGGCAGAACCAGGCTCAGGGAGGGGCGGGGCCATCTGCTGCGACCGGTTGGGGAGAGAGAAGGAAGACAGGATAAAAGACTTGCTGTGGAGAGACAGAGATTAATAACACGTATGATTCAATGCAGAGAGGTCTAACAATCAGTCATTATCTGGATGATGGAGTATCTGCAAGGAGCCAGCATGGTATGGTAAACTTATAGAAAGATTATGGTTTTCAGTACTGAAAAATTGTTACGCTTTTTTGGTCGTTAATAATAAAAAGTCAATCTGTGAATGTAATGGTGGTGATCAGACAACATTAAATCCTGTGTGCTTCATGCCCATCCACCATCCCAACCTCCACCTCATCTGCAGTTCTTGTACTGGCCCCAAAGGATGGCTTTGGATATTACTCGTGACCAGTGAAGTCATTCACAGAGGTAACAGAGGAGAGCTAAACTGTGTAATAGCCTTTGTTCATGTTTTGGTCAATCGTGTTTTCTTGCCAAGCTGCATAGGGTAAAAAGAGGAAACCCTTGGCAGAAGAGACTGAAAAATATAAATCCGATGAAAGAAAAGGTAAATCAACAATACCTTGATCTGATTTTTGTTAAGAACAAAAGCATTTTTCTAACTTAACACACCAGTTAAAACTAACTCTCCATTGAGAAGACTGTGGAGATGTCCAATACAATCTACTGCTGAAAAATTAAATATCCAACTCTTGTGATCTAAAAAAGTCAAGGTTTGATTAGGTTTAATTAAATTAAATAACTTTAAGTTTAGGCAGAGATCCTTAATTGGCCTCAAACAGAATATGAGGTAACTGTTTAACAGAAGAAATTGTTACAAAGAGAGGATTTTTCATACAATTGCAGTCATTCAGAATAATATGATACCTTTACATTTCAATATAAAAGTACCAATTATCAAAACAATTTATTTTATGTCCAGTTCTGTAAGCATGGATTTCAAAGAGTCTAATACCTTCTCTGATTAAAATACTAGTAAACTATACTCCATATATATTGGGACCAAAATTCAGTTTAACTATCAGCTAACTTGACAAGTTTACGTGCAAAACAAAGACAACTTATTTAGAATACTAAATACTAAGAGCTAATAGAATACAAAACTTTCTCTCACCAAAAGAAGAAACTTCTTGGACTCTACTGATAGTCAGATATTTTTTTAAAAATCTCCCTAAAGCTGCTGTCAGCAATGGTGACAGAGAAGTTCAGCTCAGTAACTCCAAAAAGCAGAGGTGATATTTTGAAAGACACCTGACTATCTGCTGTATCCCACAACTTTGAGCCTTGCCAGTTCCCAAGATAAAAGTTAAATCATTCAAACCATTATGATTGGGGGAATTACCTACACAACCAGTACTTTTGTAAGAAGTTGTAAACATTTGCTAAAAAAATGTTTTGCTAAAAATTTTGGTAATTTAAAAAAAGGATTCTATGGGCAGTGACTTTTTCCCCGCAACTTTCACGTTGGCTCAGTGATGACCTCAAAGGGTTGAAATGGCCATAAACCTTCCACACATGCATGGATGTGAGGTTGTTATTAAGTAGGAAATGTACTTTTTTGAACAAACTTGTGCATGTGTAAAATGACATGCAGAGACCTACAACAACAAGAACAATGCAGAACGACTGAACCCCTTAAGCAGTGACAGGCTCGTAAAATATGACGAGCCTGTTAAAGCTCGTTAAAGCTGCAGAACGACAGCTGGATCATGAGCTTGTGTACGGAACCAGAATAGTGCAGTTTGAGGTAAAACACACACACTGAGGAGAGAAGTGGTGAGAGCAGAACGTGAAATCTAACACGTGCCTGGCATTTACGGATGCACCAACACTACCTGCGGCTGTGCGGTCTGTATCCCATTAACAACATGCAAAAACACACAGAAACATTTGCCTCAGCTGTGTATGTACAGGAGCAGTTTTATGTGAGTTATAGCACGTTCATAAAACTCGCAATAAACACGTGTATAACTGTGCGTGTTTGGCATTTTTCTGCTAAGTTTATGAGATGACTTATTGTCTGCTTCTTCATAAATCTTCACTGACCTACTTATTAATTTAAGCACAATACAGAGGTTACATGATGAACCCAATGAACTGATGTTTGCAGTAATAACCAAAGAATTATAGTAAACACAGGAATGCGTTTTCCCACTCTGAATGATGGATGGTGCCTCGCACATGTGTGTTTGATTGGGACTTGAAAAATGTGGTAATTCAGGAATGTGAAAATGGAAACTATCTCTTTAACTGCCTAACTGCAAACATCATTGCAACAATAAAACATGTTTTCATCGTGAGCCTCACCATTCATACCGAGGAAGAAGATAAAAGTGGATATCAATACTTGACTGAGCAGCAGCGGGGTGTTCAACAACAGTTCCAGTGAATGTTTGCAGACAGGTAGAGCGCTGATGAAGAGGTTGTTAATCACAATAAGGTTTGCATCTTTAAATTTAAGTCTTGTCGTTGTAGTGTGAAGATGACATGTTGTTTTCTGGTTAAGGGAGTCTCTGATATAAGTATATGACTATGGGTGAAGTCAGACAGCAATACCACACTTCCCACCATCAACCACTACGAGGTCCAAGCTGAGATGTTATTCAAGGCCTCTGCAAGGCCACCAATCAATCAGGAGATAAAGTAGACTATAAATGTTTGAATATGCCTTACGGGATTGAAAAAAAGTTTTTATCTATGATCCTCTCCATTTCTTTCAGTGATGGCATTATCATAAATTCAGGATGTGCAAGGAAAAATGGAAACCGCTGTTTCAAAGGAACACCCTACCTTGAGTCTGGATTTCTTAAACAATCGTTTGTTAGCACCATTAAACTCATGCTACCGGCTGGTATTCTCAGCCTCTATGAAACCTTTTTCTGTGAATTCATCCGCCTGCGAGCTCAGTCTCTAACTGGACCAAAGCGCTTTCAAGTTCTTTTAGCTTGAGTTGGCAGGTCTGTCTGTGAGCTTCACTTTGTGTCTGGCAGCAAAGCACACTGAGAATGACACAGACCCAGGAGCTGAGGACCGGTTTAATAATTCACAATGCTCCTATTACAGCGTGAGCTCAAGTCAAAGAGATGCATTTGTTAGTTTAGTGCCCAAAAAGTGATGTTTTTGGGCACTTTTGTATTTAGTGCAATATATGCTGTAGTTTTTAAGATGGGAGAACTGTTTGTAATAATAGATGATATGCTCGGCCTTTGTGAATGGCAATATTAGCAGAATAGGTGAATGAGGCAATCCTCAGTAGACGAAACTTTCAGCTTTATGATTTTACAGGATCTGTAGGTGCATCTCCAAAGTGTGGGTATTATGTACATTTACACTTGTAATGCAAGTGATTGTTAAAGTTGAAAACCCTGATAAAATCCTATAGTGTGACCGTGTGATGACACCTACTTCCTGTCTGTATTTGGTGTAAATATCCGCTCCATGCAACAACAGGCTCCCTGTACCAGAAGCACCCGAGAGAAACACACCCATACAAGCCAAACCAATCCACAGATTTGAGTTCAGACAATCAGAAGAGAAAACTAACTCAAACTGCTTCTGGCTGGATCTGATTAGGAGTGTTTTTCAAGAGCAGTGTCTGCAGTACTAGCCTCCAAACAGACAGAGGGTGCCAGAGACCTGCAGCAGCCTGCGCCGATCTGGCACACCAGGAATCAGTGTAGTGCACTTCAAGCGGGGTATCATGATCGGGACAGAGGCCAAAGTCAACACGCACATCCCCACCAATGCTAATCTCATCACTATCATGTCAACTGTGAGAAAAAGAGAGGAAAAAGTCACACAGCAGGAGATCCCTGCTAACAACTAATGACTTTAACGTTGTTGGAGCCTTTGTAACATCTATTCTGGAACTTTGCCAGAGCAGCTGTTGTAAATGTACCTGAGCTTCACGAGCAGTAAAGGCTCCTTTTTCTTTTTTCTTTTATGCCAGCAAAGATCCTGAAACAAGAGCAAAACAACATCACGTGTGCCTGGCAGGTTATCCATGTAGTCCAACACACTTTCCCCAAAGACCAATGAGGTAAGTGCCTCTTTAGATCCTTTCTTAATCAAAGGAAAAGTTATGAAACTGCAAATAGTAACACAAGACATGTGACGTTCAATAACATTGTCTCAGAGTTTGTCAGTAGTGCAGCCTGGTGCCAACAGCCTGCGTGTTCCTGCCCTCCAACAGTCCTTTCCAGCAGCAGCGAT